TTTTTCTCAATAATTTAAATAAAATAAAATTAAAATAAAAATTTTAATTATTTATATATATTTTATAAATAAAAAAACATCCCGTGTCAAATTTTCGGACTCGGGTGTTACAACTTGTATAATATTATTTTATGTTATAAACACTTATAATGTTTTAATTTTATTAATATTTATTAAAACATTCATATAGCATTTATAGTATTGCAGAAAATAAATTTTTTTGATGTATAGATAAATTTTTTAATTTTATATTGTTAAAATAATTAACTATGCCAACATTTGTATGTTTGTCACCTAATCGTTTATCAACTTCATTAAGATACTCAAAGATAATCAGATTATACAAAAGAGAATATATGAAACAAAACAGAAAAAATATTAACACATACTTATATATATATATATATTTGTGTAACTAAAATAAACCTCAAAACATTCAGGTAAAATGGTAGTTGATTGTTTAACTTCTCCAACTTTTCTAAAGCAGCATGCACCTTGTATTGAGAGTTAGAGTTTTGCACTCTGTGGATGGAGCTTTCAGAAATCGATTGTTTTTAGGTGTATTTATAATTTAATTTCATGAAAAATATGTAATTTGTAATTTATTTAGAAAGTATATTATTATTATTATTATTACTACTAAATCTTTGTTCTCAAGTGTTAATTATATGAAAGACAATTATAATATTACTATTTAATTTCGTTTAAGGCCTCTCATATTGAAGTATTTTATTCAACTTATCATGCCGAAAAATTTTAAAAGAATGTAAAAATTAATTGAATTTATTAAATTAGAATATATTTCTTGATTAGTAATTCTTAAATATTGTATTTTTTTTAAAAAAAAATTTACTACAGATTAAAGATGATAAAATTAACAAATAATTAATTTATATTTATAATTAAGTCATACTAATTTAAGCGCATAGTCATATATTTTTTCAAAAAAAAAATTCATATTTGGTAGTGTGTTTAGTTATTTGATTCTAAATAAAGTATATTATGTCTCCCATAAATTGTTAATGGAATTAACTCATTATTTTTAGAAGCAAATCAAACCTTCAAATAGAGACACTTCAAACATATCTCTAAGGGAGGGTAAAAGGGTTCTGAAACTAACATTTATGCATAGCTGCAGATATGAATACTTTATCCAGAAGTATCTTTCTAGGGATAAAATACTTTTTGCTTTTCCACTACATATACGAATTTTCCTCATTGAATTACAAGAGCCATTATATGATGAACTGGAAAATTACTTCATTCTAAATTTTTGTTAAATAATTTTTGTGAGAAATTTTATGGTTGATTTTGATGGAATTGAATATATATATATATATATATATACACACACACACACACACACAATTTTCTACTCTTCTTCTTTCAAGACAAAATTATGATTGTAGTAATAACTTCAAGACAACTGTCTTTCCAAAAAGGAAATTATTATATGTATGCTCTTCGAAAAAATTAGTTAAATTGTGTGTGTGTGTATATATATATGATAGGAAGACATATATATATCTGAAAAATAATCGATATAATGGTAGATAATAGATTTATTTGTATAAAGATACATCAAAGTATCCTAAATAAGGGTATTTAAATCAGCAAGCAGGGGCCTATATATAAGCCCTGACATCATATACATATATATATCGATGAATATATGTGTGTATATATATATATATATGCACCATTCTCGTTTATATGTATTCCTGTTTTGCCAGAGTCCTTTTTCTTTATATAATTTATACTGTCTGATCAGCAACTTTCACATGGGCAATAATAATTAAGATTTACCGAGTACAAAAAATTAACTTCAAGATAAATGGCAATCAAGATTCGAAATTTCAACCGGCTCTAATATTCCAATTACAATTAATCCTATGCTGCTTTTACAGATTTAGGCATAATAATCTTATAGACAAAAGAAATATGTGTGTGTGTGATATGCTGCTATTACAGATTTTAGCAGCAGCAACAGATAGAAAGAAAGAAAAGGGCATTGTCATGGATTGTCCAAAACATCTCCAGACTTTTCTTCCTTGTTTCACTTTCCTTTTTCCTCTTTTTTTAAATATGAATTTCCTTTCTCATTTCTGCTATATATGCATGACGATATATATTAAATGGCGAACAGACATTATTTTCCAACAGATCATATTACAAAGCCCTCCCGAAAGATTGTACCAGATGATTATATAGACGTACAGTTTTCCATTTCTTTTGGAGAAATAGATATAATATATCCTAATATTTAACTAGATGATATACATATATACAATAAGAGTATTTATGATTACCCTGAAGCAAAAACAGTCTTGTCTGGGATCTCCGGGACCATTAATACACATTAATATTGGTACCTCTTGCAAAGAAATTAAACCTGATCGATTTCTTTAAAAACCTTCTCGTGATATCCACCATCGAGATCAATATATATATATATATATTTGTATATCCAGAGTTCTACAATTAATCTCTCTGCTTTCCTCACAGAAAGAAAGAGATAACTCAGCAGAAAAAGCTTTTCCAACCCATATAAACATAAAACCCTAGAACACTGCTAAAGACAATATATATTGTTTTATCTATATATATAGAGACAAGATTATTATTTACAAGTCTTTATGGTCCATGTAAAAGACTTCTACCATAAAGACTGTGAAACCCCAGTGATCTTTAATTAGTTTTCTCTCCTTTTTGCCCCACATTTTCCTTCCCCCCCTCCCTTCTCTTTTCCCCCCTTAATTAATTCAATTTCCAAATCAAGGGCTTAAAATAGATCGACATGAAATTGTGATTTTTTCTTTCAGATTTTGATATCTAGGTTTTTGCACATGGACATGAATGAATACTTATTCGTTGCTTTTGAAAGCTGACGAGGATGATAGGATTTTTAGGGTTTACATAGGGCGGATGAATTTGGCTAGGGTTTCTAGTTTCGATACATAGGGATTATATATATACAGGATAGAGCTGATCAGCTTTTGCGTAAAACTACTGCAACTGCAACTCTTGCACAGTCTCTAGTAGATATTGATTTTTTTATTCTAATTTTTCGGGTGAAGATTCCTCCATTCATCTAGATTCTTAAGTTAACTCAGAAAAAGAAGTTGCAGACTCTCTCTCTCTATCTCTCTATCTATCTTATTCTGTCTATTTCTATGTGATTTCTCTCTTACACGGACACACGCGTTACGAGCACAATATACATACATATATATATAAATATGGATATATACACATGCAGCACACAGCAGTATGTTCTTATAGTTTTTTTTTTTTCTGTAATGCATGTTTGAAAGTTACTTGTTCCTAATCATCTACCAGTTTTCTTCCTTTTTCTTTTTTTGTTTCCTCTAGAAAACAAGAATTATATTGAGCATCCCTTTTTTAAATTAATATATAACCAGAATTATACTATGCATATATATAAAGATGATGACGATGATTAAGAACTTTATCCCGATCTCTCTTAGTACGACGTACTATGGACCATTATATTTAACAAAAAATTCCTCTAAAACCTGATCAACTTAATCTCATCTTTATCTCATACTGCTGCAACCCTTTTTCTTCTTTTCCTTCAATTCTTTTGAGTAATTACCTTGAAAATCTTATCTCTGAAGCCTTCCTTAATAAGAGATTTCATGACCTATATATGAATATATTTATACATACAGGCTTAAATATTAGAATGATAAAAAAGAGAACAATTTTAGGCAGGTACCATGTCATCCATAGAAAAGTTTACTTTATAAAATAACTAAGTAATTAAAGTTTAATTTATATGACATGTTAGAAATTAATCAGAAATATATTTATATATATACACGAAATATGAACAAGGTAAGTTGATTATCATGATCCTGATATCAAGATCATATTGTAATTGAATGGGAATGGAGATGATCATATGATTAGATTGATTAGGATGCAAGTTGTGCTGCAAAATCTCACTGCAACTTGTACATATATGTCATATATGTGTATGTGTGTTCGTATATGCGTGGTCCTGCTCCTCGTATAGTACTCAATACTCAGAGTTAGATGCTTTAAAGAACCTATGTGGGTTGGTCCCTCCTCTATAAGCTGATGACTAGCCATCTATCTACATCTAATCCTCCACTATTCCACACACCACAACTTTGGAGCCCACCTCCATCACTCCCTGTTTAAACCCGCCTATATACATACACTACCATACATCATGATATATATATATAAATATACAATCCCTTAAGATTAATTTATAAGTTTCATCTAATTTTTCTCCTAATTAGTTTTACAATATTGTAACACATAATGACAATTGCCGATTACATAAAGAAATATTCATCATAAAAACATTCAATTTTTAATCCCAAAATATAAGAATCTATGGTTCTCTCACTAAAAGATTAGTATATTAACTATTTGAAGTAAATCAATATTTAGGGTATATTTGGGAGATAATGATAAAGGTTGTGTTCATATATTTAGGTAGAGATAGTAAAGTTAGTAGTACTGCAATATATAATTAGATGTAGCTGAGATAAAAATAAGAGGATATAATTAATTAGGGTTAGGGTTTTGTTAAGTTGCCTTCCTTTTCATTCTGCTAGGCATGCATTATAAAGCTAGCTACTTGTAGTTGTCAATAAAGCAACAGCCCTCTTTTTCTAATAGATGTTGGATGGTCCCGGCCATATGAAGAAGTTAAAATTAACCTTCTCCATTTATATAATATGTATATACACACACATTTTGTATGTATATATGCTCTTTTTGAAAAATCAAAGTTATAGGCTGCAAGGATGACTACAAAGACATAACAATTAAACCAGTGATTGTTCAGTCTGTGGTATGAAAACAAGAGAGGAAATTACCCTTCTGACTCGATTAATTCCACGTGTCAACTTGCGCAAACGCCACATGGCTTTCGATGTACCATTGCTTTTCCTTTTTTAATCCCATGCAAAATAGTGCTGTTAAAATTCCAGCATCTTTTCTTTACTCAATTTGCTAGTATAATAAATTTCTCTGTTGCCCTCTCTGCAAAACAAATTTTACATTTAAATACAATTTTTTCTTCTGTCTGCTAGCTAGCTTGCTATCAGTTAAACTGAAGAGGAGAGTTGAGAATTTCCATGGTGCTCTAGTGCTCTCTCTGGTGTATTAATGCCCTACCCGTTTTGGATAATTGAGGATTGAAATCTGGTTAGAGCAACGAACATGAAAGCAAATACAAATCTGTAAGTATATTTCATCCTATTATGCACTACTGATGTATGCATATCTATATATATAAATTTCTATCATATGTAATTCTTCTATTCTCCTATGGGGGGGTCTTTCTTCTGATTTTCTCTTGAAATTAAAGCTTATGAAGTCAATTGAGTTGGAATAGTACTTCAGGTTTCCATTATCCCTAACTTTGGGAATTCTCCATTTGAGTTTAATAACATAACTAATACTTTTTTCATAAACAAATTCAATTCACCGTAAAATCCAAGTTGATTTTTTTTTCTTATGTTTGAATTATTTAATTTAGTTTATGCACCGTTCAAAACCCTTCATAATGTTCAAGATACAGTCAGTAGTACTAGAAAAAATTTGCATATGCATATTCTGTATGTATATCTAGGGTTCCTTCTGCATATGGGGAGGTAATTGAAACAAATTTATCAAGAAAGGTGGCTTAGCATTACCATGAGAACCTGGAAGTACTGATGTAAATTAACTTAATTAATTGTTTATTGATCAGCTGATTAATTCAAATGAGAGAAGAGGGCTAGTGAGGAATTCAGAAGACGATGATCTCAAGTTCGAGAGAAAGAGGTCTCGAAGCAAAGCAAGAGAATGACATGAGCAAGATTGACAAGTCGAAGATAGCATCGAGTTCAAGGCAATGGTCAGCGTTTCGAAATCCAAGAATCGTGCGAGTTTCACGTACTTTTGGCGGAAAAGACAGGCACAGCAAAGTGTGCACAGTAAGGGGATTGAGGGACAGAAGGATAAGGCTTTCAGTTCCCACCGCAATTCAGTTATACGATCTTCAAGACAGACTTGGACTTAATCAGCCTAGCAAGGTAATAGATTGGTTACTAGATGCCACTAAAAATGATATTGACAAGCTCCCACCTCTTCAATTCCCACCAGGATTTGGCCAATTCCATCACCAAATGTTTCTTCCTCATCATGAATTATCGCCTTCGATTAATTCCATTTCTCAGTCTTTGCCTTTTGCTTCCTTTTTCGATGCAAATCATTCTAATCCTTCTAATTTCTTGAAGGATGGAATGTCAGGGTTACATAGTTCCTTAGGGATTAAGACCAATAGTGTTGGTGATGGGGATCATGATGATCATCATCAGTCAATAAATATGGCAAAAGTTAAGCCATATTGGGACATGGATTATGCTAATAATTCATTCAGAACTGCAGCAAAATGTAAGGAAGTTGATAATCATCAAAATAATACTCCATCAGCTGCAGGCAAAGGCAAATGGATTAAGTCAAGTGTAGTACAAAATCGAGATCAAGATAATCAAGATCATGGACCAATCAGTGGCGGGTATTTGCCATCGTCATCAGCTCAAAAATTCTTTCCTCTAGCTAATCATTGCTACCTAAACAATCCCATGCCTTTCAATTCCTACTACCATTACAATTGGGATCCTTCTTCAAGCTTGTCTCTATCACAATTTGGAGGCCATGGTTACCAGCCCCAGCTAGATCAAAGTAATAATAATTCTCTCAATGATGCAGCTGTTACTTTGGCCACACCACCATCTTCTTCATTGTCCCTCTCTTCTACGCCATCTCACTCTCAACTATTGTTTTGTCCGCCTCCGCAACTCCCACCATCATTTCCATCATACCCAACTCCGTATCTTACTACTCCGGCCGCGCCGGAGAGTAGTGATCAGGCCAGGCAGATCAACCATTTGCAGATGTTAACAAGTAATAATTCTCTGAAATTGAGCTCATCAGCTATGAAGGTTCCATTCCAGTTGAATGTAAATTATAGTGCTGGTGATATGCAAAATCACAATAAAGGTAGCCCAAGCAGACAAGGATAACAATGATTCTTGAGGATCTTTCCATAGTGGCTTTAATTTCTTGATTTTGTGTGTGTATACATATATATACACCTCAGCACGGAATATAGAGCTGAGACTTAAGGCTATGAGGGGAATTGTACGTGTTACAGAATCAAGACCCTGAAGCACTAGCAAAGCAAGAATCCTGAAGAGGCCTTTTTATAAATGTACACATGCAACCAAACGAGTAGTACAAGAGAAACCAGCTCGCATGGGCATTGGTGTACCTCCAAGTAAGTAAGATATATATATTTATATATACAGTGTTGATTTTCTCATGAGTTTGATATATAGATAACGATCTGCAGGCAGTTAGTGACCTGATAGGTGGAAGTTTGTAATTTGGTAATTATATATATAGGAGTGCATTTAACTCTTGGTTTGAAATCTTTATGCAAATTAATACACATATATATATACACGTTCATAATAAATCTGATACATATATGTTTACGTATAGATATATTCACAATAAACAGTTCTGCTTAGTGTCTGCATATATATGTTTTTAACAAACGGGTTAAGCAACAATTTATTTGAGGTTAAATATAGCATTTTCTTGGTCAGTTTTCCTTTCAATGTTAACTATATATATATATATATATATAGCATATATGTTAACAGAGAATTGTGAGTTTCAACAATTAACTTTTCATGTATTATGAAGTATTATATCATATATATATATATATATATATGAATTTGGTTCATATTTAAGACACTAATAATGATTATTTTAAAGGAAGACGTTAACTATCATAACAAGCATGGAAAAAGGAAAATTACATGGTTTTGAATTTTGATTTTCTAAAATAATATATAATCGTAGACAAAATTTTCCACATTAGTTATTGAAAAATAATTGTAAGTATATAAACAACTTTTTTTTTTTTTTTTTTTTTTCTTTTCCCATACTTTCACTACCCCTTTTTACTCTCATTTTTATAATTAAAATGTTCTATTTTATAAAAATAATTTTTTTTTTTTACAACGACTGGGGTTCAAATTTTGTTAAATTTCTTAAAAATCACCTGGAAATTAGAATTTGATAAGTACAAACAAAAATATTTTGTGGGAATTAGAAGTGGCATGAAATTGAATAGGAATAAATCCTTTACCAAGTTATGTAAAAACAAATCTTTTAACGTTTTAAAATATATATATAGTTCTGGCATTATAGATAAGGAAATTAAATTTAATTAATATTTTAGAAACTAAAAGTTTAGTTAATATTCTTATTTAATTTATTATTTTAAATGTTTAAATTAATTGAGAAGGATTCGATTTACTTATATTATAACATGTTATTTTACACGTAAATCCATCAGTATTTAAAATATACATTATGTATAAATTTTATGTAAAATTAATTCTCAATAAAAACCGAGTTACTAAGATTTAAACATTAAAATTATTATTTTAATATTATCTTATATAATATATTAAATTTTAAAATAATCAATTCAATTAACCATCAAAAATATTACTATAACATTAACTTTCACCAAAAATTAAATCTTTCCTGTTAATTTTTATTTGAGCTTCCATTATATTTGATCTAAAATTATCTTAAAAGTTTAATATAAATAATTTTTGTTGAATTAAACATAAGATATTGTTTATTGATGATATGCTGTAAGTTAAAATGTGTTTCACTTGGAAGATGAGATGATATAATATATATATATATATATATATTTCATTATGGTTGGTGTGGGATAAGACTTTTTGTACATCTCATGCATTTCACATATTATTAATTCCACAATGTTTATTGTGTTTGTATTTTTGACTCATATCGAATAAGAACAAGAAAATATTATGTGGTTTAAATTTATTATGTAATTGACTTTGAATTAAAATATCATTTTAAAACTGTATTATATTTGTATTATGTATTCTATTTTGTTTTATAACATTAATTTTAAACTAAAGTTAGAGTCAATTATTTATTTACTTTTTTTTTTTTTTTTTTTTTTTTTTTTTCCAAACATGATGTGTAGAAAAAAATTGACGTGAAAGTAGATGGTTAGAAATAAATTAATTCAGAAAATTTTTTAAAATTATAAATTAATTCAGAATTTTCAAAATATTTTTGCAGAAATAAATTAATTTATTAAGTCGTTCTCTGAATTCCTTCTTATATTTGCGCACGCCTGCATCATCTCTTTTCTGCATCAACATAATTGAAAAGCTTTACTGTGTAAACTTAATTTTCACGTATGGATGCATACATTGCATACATATATATATATATATATATATATATATATATCCACATTCATAGTTAATTTTTGGGTTTGTACGGATATCTTTTTTCAAATAAAATTTTTCTTACTTCTCAAAAGAAAATGAGTTTATAGTTTAGTACATAAATATTGTATAAAAGATCTACATACGTATGCATATATATATATATATACATAGAGAAAAGAAATTAAGGAAAAGAAGAGTGGGATCTGTTGGAGACGAAGGAAAGATAAACGTGGCATATTAAAAGTGGCGTAGTCAAGTTTATATGTATATATAATTCAACTCCCGTACGTGGACCACTTTGAATGCAAATTAATGTATGTTGAAGAGCGGAGAGAATCTTTAATTTAAACTTCATTTTCTAGTCTATTTTCAGGGCACACAAACAGGCAGTAAGCTTAAGCATGGACAGAAAGTTAAAAGGCATAGAGAAGAAGACTCCACAGGAAAAGCCAAAAGTTAAAATTAAAGCTAGAGTAGAGTAGAGTAGAAAATTCACTCTATGTTGCATGCATTATATATATATATATATATATATATTATATGCTTTTGATTGGATTATTGATACCGTCTCTATTTATTTTTATATACTTTTATTATTAAAAATTTATGTTATGATAAGTGTATGTACATCATTTTTATTAATAAACAAAACATTTTTAATCACAAATATATATGTGTATACATATACATGCCAACTGAGATATAATACTCTAGTTTCTTAGATATTGAGATAAATAGGAAAGAGAATGAGCACAAATAATTCATTTAATTAATTGATAGTGATACCATATACATATACATATGCCTGTACGTATACATGTTTGTATATATTTATTTATATAGAGAGTAAGAGGTAGGCAAATAGCGAGAATCTTGGATGAATCAACGAGCTGTTACTGCAAAACATACATAATTTTTCCAGATCCAAGAAAATCTATCAGCCTCTTTACAACTTGACTCTTTAATACCTACACAACTTTAAAGCTGGCTGTCATTTAAAAGGTTGCCTCCTCCTTTGTGGTCCATTTTACCTGTTATATATATAATTAATGACTCAATAATAATATTAATAAATATTGTACATTTTTTATATAGTCAAAAAAATATATATCACAATAAAAAAAAAAAAAATTAATTAAGTCGGTGTTATTAAAATTTTACTGAAATATTTAATTATTTATTGTATTTTTTAAATAAGTTAAATAATTAATAACTGTAGTTTCTCTCTCTCTCTCTCTAAGACGTTAGATTGTCACAGATAAAATTTAAGAAGCAAAAAATAAAAACATATATAATATTTAAAGTAAAATCTCTGATTTAATTATAAGAGCTACGTGGAATTAATTCGTTGATTTTAAATTATTATTTTTTCTTAATCATGTTAAAATATATATTTGCAATTTGTCTCAGCTATAATTTTCTCCTATAAAATTGTAGGACAACATAAGTAAAATGAATATTAAATAATAAATTAATAAAAGAAGAGCCCCCGGCGAGGATCGAACTCGCGACCTTTCGCTTACGAAGCGAACGCACTACCACTATGCTACGGAGGCAATGTTGCCTCTTGATTCCACTTTTAAATAAATACAAAATTTTGACGCCGTACAATCGTAACAAACCGTAACGAAAGATTAGATATATCATAAAGTTGTACTTTTATGCTTTAAAAATTCAATAATCAATAAATTTTTTTAAATTGAAACTTTACTAAAATATCAAAAAATTCAAATTTTTTTTTATAAATAAAATAATTTCTCAATCCAAATACATATTATATTTTCTAAAGAAGAATCCAATCACTCATACATTATAAGTTTCCATAAGAATTCTATTCTTCAAAATTGTGAGGAAAGAAAATGGAATAAACTCACAGCTCAAATAATAAAGAAAATAAAATAACAAAATAATTTCAAATTAAATATTCAAATAAGAAAATCTTTTTTTTTTTTTTTTTTTTTTTTCGGGGTATACACACTTTTAACTCTTCTAATCTAAATGTCAGGGAATGAAGGTTGTAATTTAAAAATTTTTGAAACTTAATTGTCTTGTTGCAAAACTTCTCTTCTCTTCTTAGGGTTTTAAAGTTTTTAAACTAAACACTAACATATATACAAAGTTGTTCTCACTATAATTACATTACAAAAATAGCCCAAAATAATTATATAACTTCTCTTAAACCTATAATCAAATAGTAAGTATTTTATTATCATGTATAAGGTATTATAATAACTGTATGTATATATTTTTTAAATTTGATACATTAGTGTCAAAATTTATGTGAGATATTTCATAATAGATTGTATTTTAAAATTAATTTTTAAGTTTAAAAATAAGTATTCTTCAATCTACTGACTCTAATCATAATTTAAGTAACTTTTTAGTTATTATTTTATCGGATACGACTCACGTTCATCACGACCTAATACAAGATATTAATTATAACTCGGCCATCCGTACATCACTTGATGCATATGAAACTTAAATAGCAAGAATACATTGTATAATTCCAGAATTTTGAATTCAGTAATTAATTTGGTCATGAATTTTGTCTTCTCTAAATTCACCTTCCTATTATAATCTTTCTCATAAATTCATAATTCATTGTATTTGTCATATGTATTATATTTGGATGTGATTTGAATAGGATAGTCAATGCACCCTTTTAAAAAAAAATAATAAATAAGTAGTTTATTGTATCGCATCATTAAAAAGAATGATGAAAACACCATCAAACAAAATAATAATAATCTAGCGCATTACGGACCTTCTGTTTTTGTTTCTCTTCCGTCCGTTTAGCATAACTTTTTAAGTCTTGGCTAAATTGCTAAATATACAAAATTGATTCTTAGCAATAGCATATGACTTCTATGCACAAGTGTTCTTTTTTTTTTTTTCCTGAAGAACAAACGGAAGACACATAGAGACTTTAGGTTCACTATCAAATGAACTTAAACCTCTCGTTGTTCGTTTCCGAATCCGTCCACTCTCTTTAACATCAGCATTCGCAGCATTCAGATTCCAAGACCAAAGACAGAAACCTAAGACTTTGTAGTTCGAGTACTTGAGAAATTAAAATCAAGTGTTTGGAAGTCTCACATTTTGGCTGTTGTGAAAATGTGTTTAGTTCCATCATTAAATAATTTTGAGTATCAACTTTCCTACTCGCAGCTCAGGACTCAACTTCTTTACCCATGAATTATTTTTTCTTTCATACCAGCAAGGAAAAGAACAAATCTAATATCACAATAAAGAAAAAGAACAACAAAGTTATTAAAACAAAAAAAAAATTCTATTCTTGAAACAGCTTCTGCTACTTTATAAACAGCTGCCGGCACTTACCTTGTCTGGTTTTTGTGCCTGCTGCCTCCCCGATCACAATCTCGTTGACTAAATCCTTAAACACCAGCCGCTCAACATCTAACACGACACCTGGGACCTCACAGGAGAAGTCTGTCCAACTCTCTGACCGATGCATTACGTCCTCTGTCAAGATCCCTTTCAGGCCATCTTCCTCTTCTTCCAAGTCCCACACTGCTTTCCAGCCCTCAACTTGTTCCATCTCCTGACACAGTTCTTTCAGGAATTTTTGGGCATTCAGGGTTTTTTTTGCCAGTTTATCAGACTTCAAATATGGCTCTGAATTCACCCCCAGCAAAGCTAATTTCTGGACAAGAACCTCATTAACAGTGTCGAATATGAGCTTCCGGTGGAACTTCTCCTGATCCGACTTTGAATTGGAAGCCTTCCGAAGGATGCTTTCTTCTTTCGAGTGCATATTTCTTGCCTTGGTCTGCTCCAAAACAAAGAACAATTCAGGATTGATTGGGTGACCTGAAGGATCGAGCTGAAAGGTCGCCAATCCTGAACCAAGGTCTCTAAGTAGAAGGCCTGAAGCTAATAATATCTCAGAAATGTATCTGTGGTCAGGATTTGGGTTCTCACAAAGTGATGCAATGTAGTCTGTTCTGGCTTCATCATGGCTAGAGTTTAGTCGTCTCAGCTTTTGCACCAAGTTTTCAATGTTCTGTAATTTCTTGTGATTCATCTCTGACGTAAGACCAGATACTTTGCTGCTCGCAAAGTCAGCAAAGGGAATCCATCGTTCATTGTGATTGTCGGTGGAACCTCGAGCACCATCACCTGTAGCATTAAGGAATGTTCAAGTCAGAGAGCAGATCAGAAGTTTCCTTCTGAACCTTTAAATTAAGAATGATGTCAAACAACTCTCCTTTATTATGTCAGTTTATCCTTTATTTAGTTACAACTCCCTACCACAGCAGATTAAGATAATCACTTAAACTATAATTTCAATAAAATCCAACTATTACATCTGACCATAATCAAGTTAATCAGTAAACATATTCCATATTGATATAAAAGATAGATTTGTAGTGAATAATAGAAAATTCACCTCCTTGCATCTGCTTCACAGGAGATGGTGCGTCGTCTCTGTACAATAAGGTATCAAGGACAGAGACAGGACTTGGATGTTCTGGTGGAACTGTAGCAAATTCTGCCAAGGATCCATCTTGACTCAATCTTGGAGCTGAAACCTAAAACAAATAAAACAAAAAAAATTTGTCAGTTACATAATCAGACAGTTGACTGGATGGGGAAAGACAAAAAAGAACCTACTTTCTCCATTGAGGTTGAAACTGAGTACTTTTCAGCCTTCAGGGATGGACTCTGGTTGCTGTTGACTTCAACAGATTGTTCAGTACTGGCAACTTCAGTATCTACCTTTGGCTCCAACACAGTACTGCTGTCAGAATGAAGAGATGCATCATCCCCCTGGTAACTTGAACTTCTAGATTCATTGCTTATCTGACTCAATTGGTCATCACTTCTCTGCAAGTCGCGAGATTTTGATCGAAGTTTACCACCAGGAGAGCTTGATTCTGTCAGATGCCTGTTGGATTGCCTTCTGGGTTTGCTTGAATCAGATGGAGGGGTAGGTGGACGGGATCGCTTGTCCAACTCAAGCTTCTTCTGCTGCAGTCTCGGGCTTGTAGATCCAGAATTCTTTACTGAAGTAGCAGCACTTTCTTTGGACAGTTGTTGAGGCTTTGTTGAGGACTGTGAAGATCTGATACTCCTACTACTCAATTTCTTATCAACGGAACTAATGGAGAAGTCATTGAGCATGTTTCTAGGAGACTTGTCTTTAGCTGTTCTGCTATTCCTTGAACTCCTTTTACTATCTACAGCTGCATGAATTTGGAGTTTGTTGAGATCAGAAAAACTATCAATTGGAATTACTGATGAAGCAGGCATACCTGCTTTGTCCACAAGTTTTGCAGGTTTCATGATCACAATTGGGGATTCATTGCTCCTGCTATGCTGACCTTTTGAATTCTGACTGAGAACCACAGATTTTGGTTCGTAACCGTTTCGAGCTCTGAAGGTCAATGGTTGTTCTTTCTTGGTCTCTAGGAACCCCTTTTCTTGCATGGCTTCCAGTATCTGTTTAAGAGCTCCCAGATCCTTCCCAGATCCCTTGACTTCAAGATCATTTAATTTTTTCTGGATTTCGCTATAAATAGAAGGAGATGAGGAATTCGATGTTCTCTCTTGAACTTTTACCACACTAAAAGCTGGCTTTTGTGAATTTCGAATACCATCCAGCTGCCTCCATGGTGCTGATTCAATTGGAAATTTTGAACTTGAAATTGGCTTCATGATTAGATCAGGATTTTTCCACCGTGGTGATGCCGGATCTTTGAAAGAGCTTCTTGGGGAGCTAGGAGAGGTTCGAATTGGCCTATTGAGATCACGTCTTAATGCCCTAGAGAAAGGATTTCCATCCTCAATGGGGCCAGTTTTGATCAAATGCAAATCATTGTCACTAGCTGAGGCAGAATCAGGCAATGTTTCCAAGCCCATCAACTTTGCTACAACACCAGCAGGACGTTTCTGGCTACCCAGTAATCCTCGTGGACTAGGGACTTCATTACCAGAGTTGACCGAATTCTGAAAGCTTCTAGAAAGATAACCCGCATTTGATTCAGAGTTGGAACCGCGCACTGAACCTTCTCTACTATCCAATGAAAGCCTAGGAAGCTCTTTCAGCTTTGGTACAGATTTGCAGGAGTCTCGTGATTCAAAAGATAATCGATTTGTCTCTCTCCCATCATAAGAAAATCGAGGAGCATCTTTTGCTATTGAATGCCAAGACCTATCTTTTGCTTCATATGATGATCTACGAACTTCTTTAGCTTCAGTGTAACAGCGAGGTGCCTCTCGAAGTTTGGCAAGAACCCTAAGAGACTCCGACTCCTCGATATCAACATCACTTAACCCAGCACCATGAGATCTATCTACTGACTTAGACGGTTGTATTGGCCTTGGAGAGTCTTTATGCTTCATAGCCTGGCCCTTTATTTCCTCTTTGGTGGTGGTTTTAACTGAAAGTCCTCTTACTTCCCTATACATAGAGTCCTTGACCACATCACGAAGATCAGGGGATTGCAGCCCTAGATGTGGAAAGGAACTTGCTTGGTGAATTACTGGCTCCCTGGAAGGGGTACCAGGAAAAATTGTTCTCTCAAAGGCAGAGGCTTCTTGTTGAGTCATTTTATTACACTCTGAAGAGGATAAAGAAGATGAACATGTTGATGAGAAAGAAGGTCTCGATGATTCAGTAGAAGTCCTCTGTTTCTCATTCACACTCCTGTTCACATTCGTTTCCTGCAATTACAACATTATAGCATTAGGACAACCAAGAACTTCCATCACCAAAATAGATTAGTGACAGCATAAGGAAATTCAAGATTGCCAGGAAAATAAGGAAAGAAAGATTGGTTGGAAAAATAGTGTTACAAGTTCATGTACAAACAGAAAAAGCCCAGTGACAGGCCAGAATCGAGAATTACATTTTCAGAACAGTTTAACATAAGAACGTGAAATCCTACTTTGTTGCTGATCCAATATCCAGTCATTCAAATAGGAAAACCAAAAAGATCAAAACAGGCCTAAACTTAAAGGATCTCTCCTGTCACTTGCATCTTAATGATATAAATGATGTTCTATGAATTTGCAAAGGAAGAAAAGAATGTCCAAAAAAAAAGGAGAGACAGAAAGAGCTTACAGTTGCAATTGATTGATTATATGGATTATTAGACTCTCGTTCAAAGCCATTGCTATTGAAGTGAGAACTACCTGAAAAGTATGAAGGCATTAGTTAAATCAAACTGCAATACTAACATTTTAATGCTTGAACTCAGCAGAGCATTTCAGTTCTCCTCCCCCAGTTTCGAAACCCCTAAAGAGGCAGAAAATGTACAAAGAGGGTAGGAATTAACTTGTAACTAACAATGCGACACCATCATGTGCATACTGCATTTAAAACTTATAACAATTGAAGAAAAAATGAGCAAAAATATTTCAAACCCTATTCTACTCCTTCGAGATACAACTACGTGAAGAGTTAACAAAACTATCAATAATAAGTTGCATGTGACACGCATACTCTCATTCGTAAAATTCAAGTTGGCAGCATAATAAGTATTTGCCAGAATTCTAACTGAAGTAGGTAACTTAAAACAACAAACAATTTGAAAATAAACACACTCAGGGCGAGTATAATTACACACATAGACATTGGTTAATATACAGGCATGCATAAAGCAAAGGACTTGATGAACAGTATATATTTTATGATACCAACTGTAGTTTTTCTAGAGTGAGCTGCAGTGGATTAAAAACATAGAAAGAATGTACAGAAGCCATAGAAATTCTTCTTCTCAGCTATGTTTGGATGTTGGAATGAAGGTGGTAATCGAAGGAATTGGAGTTTATTAAATGAAGTCTACAGAAAAAATAAAAATTTTCCCTTATTTGAAAGTTTATTGAAATTAAAAGGCAAGGATAATATAGAGATCCGTCTAAACCCTAGATTCGGTATCGCTTATCCTTTGAATTAATCCAAATTGGGATAAAATGGAAGGTAAAAGAATTATATTTAAGCTTTTGAATTACAGAAAAAAGACCAATTTCGGGAAGATCAAAATGAAAATCAACCTTTTCCTTCCCTTCCCCTCCATATCCCTCTACTTCTTACAGTGGAACTTCCACACACACTCTAAAGCAATGATTCAAAACTGGATTGGATCAGTCGTAACCTAGCAACATAACTAAAAGAATACTGATAATACATTGATTAAAGAACTAAAAACTGTTGAGACATTAGCAATACAAGTCAGATGATTTACCTGGTGCAGAAAGCCTCCTATGGCTCAGACGCCTACCAGTGAGGTTATGGTGACGGTCAAAGAGTTGAAAAATTCCAGTCATGCATCCTATCTGCTTCTGCAGATCTGGGTTGTCATCTGCCAATGAATGTAGAAGCTTGGCAGCCATCTTTCCTCCACTAACACCTTAGTTACAAAAGCTAAGACTCTTTACTTTCCACAACTCTACCGACCCTGTTCCTCCCACTATAACGTCTTTTTACAACACCAACACAATCGTGCATCCAGGAATGTCGAATCTAAGACCCTCAAGCAATCTCTGAGATTGAATTTCAGATTGAGAACAACTGGACGTAGAAATGTTTGACTCTTCTTTTGTTTTTCCTTTGCTTTCGTTCACCTCTATAAACCAGAACGAAATTGAATCTCTTTCCATTTCCATTTCATGATAATAGCTGTATTCCCATGTATAGAATAGAAAAAGCTTTGAATTTTATTTCCTTTTTTGATATCTAATTACCACAAATGTAAGGAACAATCTCGCCCAAAACCCATTATCTTCCAGCTACTTCACAGCTCAAGCCTAGCAACCACGGTCTTGTATCAGTACCCATAATATCAAAACTTTCCCTTCTCAGACCAAAATCCTTACCATCAAAATTTTCCCTTTTCAACCCAAAATCCTTCTCATGACAATATCACATTTTCAGATGAGAAGAAAATATAAATGAAAATGGAAAAAAAAAAAAAAATACCCTTTTGGGAATTTTACCCGGATGGTTGCATCAAATCCCAACTTCTTGCAAGAATGAAGGAAAGCAAACGTAGGAAACCAAAATCAGTTCTTGTGAGGCATATATACAAACAGGGAAGCTACCTTATTAAGTTTCACAAATGAATCCAGACAATGCATTGTGTGAGATACCCTTAATAGAAGCAGCATGCAAAGGAGGGGACCCTTCCTCAATATCCCAAGCTTACAAAATCCAACCAAAAACCATAACTTATTCCTCCAGCTCAGTTACCCAGAAGAAGAAACTATTAAAAATGGTAAAAATAAGAAATTGCAGAAAAGGAAGGAATTGAGGAATGTGTGGAAGAGACAGGCTGTGCTACAGTTCCCCTGATAGAACAAAATAGGAAAAGAGGGCAAGCAGGAGAGAAGACTAAAAAGAGAAGGGAGGGAGGGTGGGGGGGGAAGGGAAGTTTTGTTTTTGCTACATCATTTCGTCATCAGGTTGAGGAAATCAGCTTGGGAAGAGGCATTTGCCAATTTGCAATAACAATAACAATAACAATAATAATAATAATAAGTTTGATTTATTTATTTTAGGGAAGAAGGAAAGAGAAGGGTATGTGTGTGGGTCAGGTGTCACACAGGCTCTATCTCACAAATCCATGTGGGATGAGTATGTAGGTGGGTCTGGAGCTATCTGCATGGCATGTGATTTTGTCAGGGAGAGAGGTTGTTATTATTTATTATTATTTACAATTATGTGAAATATAATATTAAATACATATGTGTAGGAACAGTGGAGTAGAGCTTTCCTAAATCACCTGCAGAGTCAGTTCCCATTTGCTGCCGATTTTTTTCACATGCCATATTTAGCTTGCCTCACTTTTCTCTCTTCTTTTTCTATTCTAATGTATATAAATTCTTATATAATATATAAAGATTATAAATGTAGTTACTGTATATAAATTTTTATCTTAATTATTTTCCAATTATTATCGATAATGTTTTTCAATTTAGTTTGATTTAATTTTAATTTTAATTTATAAAGTGGGTTCAATTGAATTATTGAATTGTTAATCTACAACTACACTGGCTAGTAAAATGATTGTATATATTTCATGTTAGTTTACAAAAAACAGAAATTTCCAAAAGTTGGTATGTTTTATTATACCGATTTAATTTAATTTTAATATAATATTTTTAATAGTAAAATAAGAATGTGCATTTTTTAATAATTAAAAAAAGGGAGGAATTTAATCCTAATATTAATTATTCCCTTGTTTTTCTCCTTTTCCTTTTAAAAAATTGCCCCTATTATTTATCTTCTTTTACACGAAATGATGTCGTTTTGAAATTATAACCACTAACATCTATAATGTGCAATTAATTTGTCTTTATTTCCTTGACAAAATTTGAATATTAATAAAATTTTATAAACTATTTATTTTGTTGTATTTGGTTAAAATAGTCTTTTATTTTTATTTAATTTTTAAATATTATTTGTTTTATATATAATAATATAATTAATATATTTTTTTTTCACAATTTTAGTGTTATAATTATTAACTTTATATTTTTTTTTATATCAGTGAAAAAAATCATAAAAATATCTAATGTAAATCAGACTAATTAGATTAAGACTTGGATTAATATTTGATTATAAAATATTTCAATTGAATGTCCATCCTTAATATATATATATAGAGAGAGAGAGAGAGAGAGAGAGAGACAAACAATAAGACAGTAATCCGGGGGGTAGCATACATGGCGGCCATTATAACCAACCCAGATTAAGCCAACAACTCAATTAATTGTGTTTGAATATTTATCACTTTGATTAATTTATTCAAAACTGACATATATATATATATATATATATTTACACACTTATGAGATATATTATTTTATGTAATAAATAAATTTTCATAAATAATTTACTAAAATTTAAATTAAGCAATATAATTTATAGAGTAAACTTTGTGTTAAATATAATACAATATTTTATATAATACCCGTTATGTAAGATCATTCCTTAAAACATTTCATACCCATTTTGGTAGTTAACAAATATATGTATATAGTCAACTTAGGGATAATATGTTTATGTATGTATATCTTTTGATTATATAAATAACAAAGTGGATTTTATTCAGGATTAGTTGAGAATTATGTGTCGGATTCCAATGGGCACATGGTTCCCCACCACTTATGGTTTGTCAAATCCCTGCATTTTGCATGCCATGTATTAGTTTTCATAATTTCTTCTTTTAATTCTTGTCATAATAATATGATTTGATTCATACATGCGCATATATATATATATATATATATATATATCTCTCTCTTGTATGAGAGTATATACATATACATGTAGCATCTCTAGAGATCATAAAGAATTTGTGCTAAGAACATAAATTGAGAAAAGTAGTTTAAACAATTAAATATGTTAGCTAGTCTCTTTATGATAAGAAAAGATTTTTAATAATAAAAAAAAATGTTAATACAAGACAGTGCAAAAAATTACATAAAAATGCATTTAACATGTTGAGTGATAATCAAGGTTTTCTAAAAATTTATTTAAATTAGATATAAAAATATCTCATAAGATATTTTAATTTTGAATTAGAATGATATAATATGAACAAAATTCTTATAGTTCAATTTGTATCGTCTTAAATGAGCTGTTCGTCATTTTCTAGTAATAAGTTAAAATATATTTAGAACAACTTTAAAATTTATAAATTCACATTTAGTTTAATTAGTAGGATTCATAAATTATCTTACAATGACAAAGAAAAATTGGCTTCATATAGAATTCTATATAGATTGAGAATAATGGATTATAAATTTTATTAAAATTTAATGAAATTTAGCATATTTATTCTAAATATGGTAACTTGTTATCATTTTAGAGAAAAATTTTAGAAATTTTTTAGTTGTAAAAAAAAATTAAATATTTTGTAAACATAATCTAAATGTGAATTTCTAAATGAATTTTACAAAAATTCTTAACATGTTCCAAAAATAACCTTAATTACCATAATCTAATTCAAGTTTTGCCTTAAATATGTTATATCCTACCTGAATACCGATTAGGCAACAATTCTCATTACGTTAGCTATTTTAGTTAAGAAACTACATATTCCTAAGCAAGTTCATACACTCAACACTTAGAAGTGAAAATATACTACTAATATGAAATAAATTGCACATTTAGGATACAAATTAGTATACAATAAATTACTAAATCTAAAGTCTTACATTGCCTTTAGACACTAATATTTATTATGGAAAACCACCCTCCTACTAAGGCATAAAATTTTACGACAGTGAATCCTTCACAATAGCTTACTAGGTGTATATACTAATAATTGTTTTACTAATATTTCTCTCTATATATTATACAAGCTATTGGAAGCAAATATTGCACAACACCTCCTCTTAGAATATCCTCTGGCTACATTATTTTGGTATCTTTCAACATGGGACATCAAGCTCTCCAATATACTTACATTATCTATCACGAAGTGGGTCTTATTTTTTACTAAGCTAAGCTAAATCAATAAAGTCTCAAAGTTGAACTTTTAAGCAAATATTTCATTATGCTATTATAAAGCTTATACTACAAAGGAATCAACGAATACATGGCAAGCTAAAAGTACGGGCTATATAATGTATCCTACAA